ATAGGGTCTTTTCTTTTATGATATGGTTTTGAAGTAGTACAGGGATGTATGTACAGATTCTTTTTTTTTTTCGGCCGTGGGGCTTGAACTCTGGGCTTGGGCGTTGTCCCTCAGCTCTTCAGCTCAAGGCGAGCGCTCTACCACTTGAGCTACAGCGCCACTTCTGGTTTTCTAGTGGTTTATTGGAGATAGGAGTCTCGCGGTCTTTCCTGCCCAGGCTGGCTTTGAACCGCGATCCTGAGATCTCAGTCTCCTGAGTAGCTAGGATTACAGGCGTGAGCCACCAGCGCCCGCCCGGCTTGTATGTACAGATTCTTATCCCCACCCGCTGCTTCTGTGCTAGGGATAAATGAAACCCAGGGCCTCATACATGCTAGGTAAGTGCTCTGCCACTAAGTTATAATCTTAATCCTTTTATTTCTACTAGTTACATGGTCTCGCAGTGTTGTTCACAATAAAGTAAAATTTGGAGACCCAAATGGAGAAGGTTCTGTGTTTGATTATTTAGATTAGAGTTCCCTAACATCTTTGGCACACTTTAACTTTTAAAATGTTCTTATAGGGCTGGGAAGATGGCTCAGTGGTAGAGCGCTTGCCTTGCATGCCTGAGGCCCTGGGTTCCATTCCTCAGCACCACATAAACAAAAAGAAAAAAGCCGGAAGTGGTGTTGTGGCTCAAGTGGTAGAGCGCTAGCCTTGAGCTGAAGAGCTGAGGGACAGTGCCCAGGCCCAGAGTTCAGGCCCCACGACCGGACCCAAAAAAAATAAAATAAAATGTTCTTATAGTAGCATTACATCTAGTAGGCAAAATTCTTAACTTAAGATTTATTTCTTCATTTTATGCCATTCAGTTTGGCATTGCTCATTGAGTATGTGAGAGTAAGATTAGTTTATAAGGAATGTGAGAAAAATTGCTTTTTCAAAAAAAAGTCTTTTTCTTTGAAAATGTAATTGCTTCTGGTTGTGGGAATCTCCATGGGTATTGGAGCTATAGGTCACCTCATAACTTTTTACAATGTAAGGGTGCCTTTTCTCTTCTACTAGCCAAAGAGAAATGTAGAATTAAGGCAAAAAGGATTCAAGCTTTGGGCAACAAACGGTAGGGTATCAAATGAGATTTTTCTCTCAGTTAGCTAACTAAGAGGAACAAACTGCTTTGAAGGGAGCTAGTCATTACTTTAGCAAAAATTTGTTTCTGAGAAAATATTACAGAAAAACATGGGGAAATATTTTTCCTAATTTTTCTCTGCCATAAGAGGGTAGGGAAAGTAGAACAGTGTTTTATTGTAGAAGTAACAGCACTTTAGAGGCCTGGTGTACTAAGGAGACCAAGGCAGGAAGATTACAAGTATGAAGCCAATCCAGGCTACATAGTGAGACCCTGTACAGCTCAAAGGACAATTTGGATGTGTTCACATGTTGCCTATTGGTGTGCCTCATTAAAATTTAGATTAAAATGGACCAAAATAGATGCATACAGTGGTGTGTACCTGTAATTTTGAGAGGGTGAGGAGGAAGAACCAAAGAGTTTGAGGCCAGTAAGACTGTCAAATAAACAATAAATAATCTGGGCACCAGTGCCTCACATCTGTAATCCTGGCTACTCAGGAGACTTGAGATCTGAGATCGTGGTTTGAAACCAACTGGAGCAGCAAAGTTCACGAGACTTTATCTTCAAAGTTCACGAGACTTTATCTTCAATTAACCAGCAGAAAAGTGTGTGGCAACATGCTAGCCTTGAGCAAAAAAGTTAGGGACAGTGCTTAGGCCCTGCGTTCAAACCCCAGGACTCGCCACAAGAAAAGAGTAAGTAAAACAAGAAATCTAATAAAAATTCCCTTTTGCTCCAATTGGAATCCAGATAGAAGGTGTTTAGAATGACAAGTTCAGGAAAGGTAGTGTGTGTGTGTGTGTGTGTGTGTGTGTGTGTGTGTGTGTGTGTGCGTGTGTGCGTGCGCATTGGGGTTAGAACTCAAGGCCTTACTAGGTAGGCACTCTACTACTGGAATCAAGGTAGAAGCTGTTTAGAATGACAAGTTCAGGAAAGGTAGGGTGTGTGTGTGTGTGTGTGTGTGTGTGTGTGTGTGTGTGTGTGTGTGTGTGTGTGTGGCCTTACTAGGTAGGCACTCTACTACTGGAATCCAGGTAGAAGCTGTTTAGAATGACAAGTTCAGGAAAGGTAGTGTGTGTGTGTGTGTGTATGTGTGTGTGTGTGTGTGTGTGTGTGTGTGTCAGTGTGTCAATATTGGGGTTAGAACTCAAGGCCTTACTAGGTAGGCACTCTACTACTTGAGTCACAGTGTGTGTGTGTGTGTGTGTGTGTGTGTGTGTCAGTCAGTGTCAGTGTCAATATTGGGGTTAGAACTCAAGGCCTTACTAGGTAGGCACTCTACTACTGGAATCCAGGTAGAAGCTGTTTAGAATGACAAGTTCAGGAAAGGTAGGTGTGTGTGTGTGTGTGTGTGTGTGTGTGTGTGTGTGTGTGTGTGTGTGTGTGTGTGTGTGTATTGGGGTTAGAACTCAAGGCCTTACTAGGTAGGCACTCTACTACTGGAATCCAGGTAGAAGCTGTTTAGAATGACAAGTTCAGGAAAGGTAGTGTGTGTGTGTGTGTGTGTGTGTGTGTGTGTGTGTGTGTGTGTGTGTGTCAGTGTCAATATTGGGGTTAGAACTCAAGGCCTTACTAGGTAGGCACTCTACTACTTGAGTCATACTCCCAGGGAGAGTTTTGAATACAGATATGTTTTATCTTTCACTTTATGTATAGACATTCTAAGTGGTCAACAGTAATTTTTTTGTCAGTCATGGGGCTTGAACTCTCAGCTTAGGTGCTGTTCCTAAGCTCTTCAGCTCAAGGCTAGCACTCTACCACTTGAGCCACAACATAACTTCTGGTTTTCTGGCAGTTAATGGGAGATGAGTCTCATGGACTTTCCTGCCTGGCCTGGCTTTGAACCACATTCCTCATATCTCAGCCTCTTGAGTAGCTAGGATTACAGGTGTGAGCCACCGGTGCCTGGCTAAGAGTAAATCTTGAAGACTAATGGTCAGAAGAAAGAATTATTTCACTCTTTCACTCCTCCCTCTTATTCCTCACCTTTTTGGAGGCCAAGTCTAACGATGTAGCTCATCTGGCTTTCAACTCATGATTCTTCTGCTTCAGCCTCCAAGTGTTATATTTACAGGTGTGGCCTACCAAACCTGGCCATTAAAAATTTTTTTCCAGTGAAGCTGCTTTAAATGCAAAATTATTGTGTATTATATTATTTGTATTTTTCTTCTTGACAGTGTAATTCAGACTTTTTGTTGTTGTTGTTTGGTTGTGGGGCTTGAACTCTGGGTCTGGGTGCTGTCTGTCCCTCAGCTCTTCAGCTCAAGGCAAGTGCTCTCCCACTTGAGCCACAGCGCCACTTCTGGTTTTCTGGTGGTTTATTGGAGATAAGAGTTTCACAGGCTTCTTGCCCGGGCTGGCTTTGAACCACCGTCCTCAGATCTCAGCCTCCTGAGTAGCTAGGATTACAGGTGTGTGCCACCAGCGCCCGGCAAGAACCAGTTTTTAAAATATAATTTTATAATTGTTAAGGTGATATACAGAGGGGTTACCATTTCAAAAATCAAGTAATGAGTACATTCCACCCCTTTGCTTTTCCTGTTTTACCCTCCTGCCGACAGGTCATTTAATACTGAATAGCATGATTGCATTTGTTCCCCCCCCTTTCTCTTTGCTCCGCCCCCCCCAGACAGAAACCCTCAGCAAAAACAAATGCTGCCTCTATCACCATCAACAATTACCAAAAAAACCATTTTTCCATTTCTTGGAATTCATTTCACTAAATAGTATTTTGAATGTTCAGAGTCATACAATTTTTTTTCTTAGTTGTAGGGGTTGAACTCCGGGCCTGAGCACTTCTCTGAGCTCTTCTGCTCAAGGCTAGTGCTCTACCTCTTTGAGCCACAGCTCTACTTCTGGTTTTTGAGTGGTTAATTGAGTGGTTAATTGAAGATAAGAGTCTCATGGGGACTTTTCTGCCCAGCTCTCTTGGTAGTAATATTTATTTTTTACTTCTCACAAAATACTCTTTTTCACCTTTTAAAAAGTCAGACCAGTGCCAGGACTCAATGTCAGTTCTGGGTACTCAGGAGGCTGATATGTGCTTCAAAGCCAGCCTGTGCAGGAAAGTCTGAGATTCTTTTTAATTTTTTTGTCAGTCGTGGGGCCTGAACTCTGGGCCTGGACACTGTCCGTCAGCGCTTCAGCTCAAGGCTAGCGCTCCAGCACTTGAACCACAGTGCTACTTCCAGCTTTTTCTGCTTAGTGGTGCTGAGGAATCGAACCCAGGGTCTTATGCATGCAAGGCAAGCACTCTACCACTGAGCCACCTTCCCAGCCCCAGTCTGAGATTCTTATCTCCATTAAACTACTGTAAGAGGGTTCAAGTGGTAGAACACTAGCCTTGAGCAAAAAACCCGAAGGACAGCGCCCAGGCCCTGAATTCAAGCCTCAGGATTGGCACCAAAACAAAACAACATAAAACTAGGCATAGCACACAACTGTAATCCAGTAATTGGAAGACTAGTTTGAGGTCATGCCTGGATTACCTAATGAGACTTTGCCTCAAAAAAAAAAAAACAAAAAACAAAAAAAAATCCACCCAAAAACCCAGAAAGGAAAAGAATCCAGAAGCTGAAAATACAGGTCAATAAAAGAGCCCATTCATGCAAGACCCTCGGTTCAGAACTTAGCAATTGCCCCCAAAATATAAAAGCATTCCTAGATTATAAAGAGAATAACAATAAAATAGCATTGCTGGATTTGGACCAACGGCTATAGTTTGCCACTCTTTTTTTCCCCTAATATAGCCATGCTTTCTGGAATTTTGTTTATTTCAAGTTTAAGATCCATGTCTCCACCTGTTCTCTGGATTTTCACATACTTCACACTGTTAAATAGAACACCTCGTGATCTCTGTTTTCAAGATTAGTCTCCTCTCTTCTTTTAGGTAATTTTCCACTTGTTCATCAAGATGGAAAACTCAGATTCTAACGATAAAGGAAGTGGTGACCAGTCTGCAGCACAGCGCAGAAGTCAAATGGACCGCTTGGATCGGGAAGAAGCTTTCTATCAATTTGTAAATAATCTTAGTGAAGAAGATTATAGGCTTATGAGAGATAATAATTTACTAGGCACTCCAGGTATGCTATATGTAATTTAAGGATTTACATATGTAAATAGATGTTTTTAATACTTTAGTCTGTTTTAAAAATGTTTCTTCAGTTATTATAAAATATGACAAATGCAAGAAAATGTCGAACAGTATTGCTGTACTTTTACTTGAGTTTAATCATGTGAAATTATTCTATATCAGACAGATCTTAAAGTTAATTTTGTTACAAATTTTGAGTGACATACACAAGAAGAATGGAGCTGAATAGTCACTTGGTTCTTAATTAGCTTTAACTTAACTATACATGAATCCAAGTGTGGAATAACTAATGAGAACTTTAGCTCCTAGTACATACCCGTTTTTGTCATCTCTGCTTCTCTGATTATGTCCCAATGATAATCTGCCAGAGTTAGTCAGGGGTATGATAACAATCAGAATTTAGTGCTTAGCTTTACCCTTTTAAGTCTCGTTTGATCCTAGTTAAAACAGTATATGTTGTCTGCCATCTCATTTCTAGTGAATTTGTATAACTTTCAGGTGATTACATATATTTTCAAAGCTAAAATTTTAGTGTGATTTTAAAGGAAGCACTTTATTTATTTATTTTTGTTGGTCCTGGACCTGAACTCAGGGCCTGGGTGCTGTCCCTCAGCTCTTCAGCTCAAGGCTAGCACTCTGCCACTTGAGCCACAGCACCACTTCTGGCTTTTTCTGCTTATGTGGTCCTGAGGAATCAAACCCAGGGCTTCATGCATGCAAGGCAAGTACTCTACCACTGAGCCACCTTCTCAGCCCAGGAAGTACATTTTGAGCCAATAGACCTGATTTCAATCAGAATGCTTAAGTTGGAGTTCTGGCCTGGCTGTTACTCAGTGTAGCTTCTGACAAGTCAGTCACTGAGTTTCCTTATTTAAAAATGAAAAACAAAGCCAGGCATTCCCAGTTACTTGGGAGATTAAGGCAGGAGGATTTAAGGGTTAAAAGTAGGCAACAGTTTGAAAAAATTAGATATTGTATGCAAAAGTACTTAGTAAGCAAGAAACATTTGTTTTAATGCTGGAGATTTAACAACCCAGGATCTTTATTTTTTTTTGTCAGGCATGGGGCTTGAACTCAGGGCCTAAGAGCTGTCCCTGAGCTTTTCTGCTTAAGTCTAGCACTGTACTACTTTGTGCCACAGCTCTACTTCTGGTTTCCTGGTGGAAATAAGAGTCTCAGGGACTTTTCCTGCCTGGACTGGCTTTGAACCTCCATCCTCAAATCTCAGCTCCTGAGTAGTCAGGATTATAGGCCTGAACCACCAGCACCCAACTTGACCCAGGGTCTTACACATGCTAACTTTTACCAGTAAGCCATACCTTCATCCCTTGGAAAGATGTTGGCATAAGTGCAGTTTTTTGGGGAGGTCAGTCTTGGGACTAAATCTAGGCCTGGGTGCTGTTCCTCAGCTCTTTAGCTCAAGGCTAGTGCTCTTACCACTTGAGCTACAGTGCCACTTCATTTTCTGGTGGTTTATTGGAGATAAGAGTCTCACAGACTTTCCTGCCCGGGCTGGCTTTGAAATGTGATCCTCAGAGATCTCAGCTTCCTGAGTATCTAGGATTAGATGTGAGCCACCGGTGCCTGGCTAAGTGCAAATTTTAATAATTGTGCTCCCAAAGAAATGAAAATTACACAGGTTTCTATTCACTCCTTAGTTCTTAAAATCTGAGTTAAGAATCACTAATTTTCTTTTTATAGTTTTTAGAATTTTTACCATTAGCTATTTTTCAGACATAACATTGTTTTTCTTATTATGTGTGAGACCACTGTAGGTCACTGATGAAGTATTTGCCACTCTTCTAATCTCATCTTTACCCTATAGTGTTTGTTATAAATCATAGCAGTGTATACCTGTGATCTCAGCACTCCTGAGCCTGAGGCAGGAGGATCTTGAGTTATAGGCCAGCCTGGACTACATAGTTTGGTACATGAAGAGAAAAAAAAAAGAATCACTGGTTTTCCTTTTTAAAATGGCAAACATTGTTAAACTTCCAGGTGAAAGTACTGAAGAAGAGTTGCTGAGAAGACTACAACAAATTAAAGAGGGTCCACCTCCTCAAAACTCAGATGAAAATAGAGGTATACTTTGCTTTGGATGGTGGGTGTAAGATGGAATGATAGGAATTTCGTAGTAGTGAGTGTCAGCCAAACATTATCCAGGAATGCCACAAATTAATTTGGTGCTAAGTAAACTGTTCATAAAAAAGAAAAGTGGCATTTTCTTGATATTTGGGATATATAGTGAGAATGTCAGCATGATTTTTCTGCCTTACAGTAGTTTTTTGTGTTGACACAGAGAAATGGCCTATTTAAATGTGGATTTTTTTTTTGCCAATCCTGTGGCTTGAACTCAGTGCCTGGGCACTTTCCCTGAGCTTCTTTTACTCAAGGCTAGCACTCTACCACTTGGGCCACACTACCACTTGTGGCTTTTTCTGTGATGTACTGAGGAATTGAACCTAGGGCTTCATGCACACTAGGCAAGCACTCTATCTCTAAGCCACATTCCCAGCCCTAATTGTGGATTTTTTTTTTTGTCAGTCGTGAGGCTTGAACTCTGAGCCTGGGTGCTGTACATGAGCTTTTTGCTCAAGGCTAGTGCTCTACCACTTTGAGCCACAGTACCACTTCCAGTTTTCTGGTGGCTAATTGGAGATAAGATTCTCATGGACTTGCCTGCCTGGGCTGACCTTGAACTGAGATCCTCAGGTCTCAGCCTCCTGAGTAGCTAGGATTATAGGCATGAACCACTGGTGCCTTGCTTTAATGTGATTTTCCCCTGCTTGGTTTTCCACCTTCATTAAAATTTCCTTCTACTTAATTCCTTATTTATAAATACGTAATTTCCTCACTAGCAGAGAAATGCTGCCATTGTTTGTCTCAATAGGGTATAATTTTGTTCCTCTTGGGAGCATTGGCAATATCTGGAGACATTTTTGGTTGACACAACTAAGGGTTTCCTACTAGCATCTAGCAGGTAGATAGCATGTATGGCACCAAACATCCTGATGTCCTGTATTGCACAGCACAACCCCAGAATTAATTGGCTCAAAATATCAGTAGTACTACTGCTGAGAAACCCTACTGTAGAACTTGAGAGCTATGGCAGTAGTTTGGCCCTTGAACATGTCATTATATATGCTGTGTTAAAGGTGTTTGATCTACAGGTTTATGTCAACTTAAAATTTTAATGGTTGACAAATGCTGATAATTGACCTTGGTTATATTTTTGCTATGGCTACACTATTCTTTCCTTTTAAAATATATCTCAGGTGTTATTAAAGGCAGAAATAATGTTATTGGAGTAAAAAGTTTACTGGAACCAAAATACTATCACTGCCTTAACTACTATAGTTTGATTACATTTAGTATTTTAACAGTGGATCAAAAAAGTTGTTAGTCTGTCAGTCCCATAGTGTCTGCTAGACTATATTATCATGAAGTACTGAAAGTAGACTTCTCTTGAGAATGCTTCTAAAAACAAATTAGTTCCCTAAATTTCTCTAGGATTAACTTTTCCACAAACCTATGTAGTATAACTTGCAAAGATTTGTAAATGTGAGCCAGTTGTGTGCTGTAATCCTAGCCACTCAGGCGGCTGAGGTGTGACGATGGATCATAGTTTAAAGCCAGACCAGGCAGGAAAGTTGATGAGATTAACTCCAATTAACCAGCTAAAAGCCAAAAGTGGAGCTGTGGTTCAAGTGGCAGTGTGCTAGCCTTGAGCAAATAAGCTCAAGGACAGTACCCAGGCCCTCAGTACCAGCATCTCCCCACAAAAGAGAAGATTTGTAAATGTAAAAATTATTCAGAGATTTTAAGTTCTTTAGTATATTTTCTGAGCACTATGATATGATGTCCTAATTTTAGTAGCTCTTTTTTCTCCCTCTGCTCCTTCTTTGTTTTAAACAGGTGGAGAAGCTTCAGATGACGTATCTAATGGTGACTCTATAATAGACTGGCTTAACTCAGTTAGACAAACTGGAAATACAACAAGAAGTGGACAGAGAGGAAACCAGTCTTGGAGAGCAGTGAGCCGGACTAATCCAAACAGTGGTGACTTCAGATTTAGTTTAGAGATAAATGTTAACCGTAATAATGGGAGCCAAAACTCAGAGAATGAAAATGAGCCATCCACAAGACGTTCTATTGGAGAAAATACAGAAAACAACAGCCAAAGGCAAGTGGAAAATGCACAATCTGAATCAACATCTGGAAGACCGTCTAGATCAGAACGAAATTCAGCTGAAACATTAACTGAAGTTGTACCTACCAGAGGTCAGAGGAGGGCAAGAAGCAGGAGCCCAGACCACAGGAGAACCAGAGCAAGAGCTGAAAGAAGCAGGTCACCTCTGCACCCAGTAAGTGAAATTTCACGAAGATCTCATCATAGTATCTCATCTCAGACTTTTGAGCATCCTTTGGTAAATGAGACTGAGGGAAGTTCTAGAACCCGGCACCATGTGACATTGAGACAGCAAATATCTGGACCCGAATTACTAAGTAGAGGTCTCTTTGCAACTTCTGGAACAAGAAATGCCTCTCAAGGGGCAGGTTCTTCAGACATAGCCACCAGTGGTGAATCTACAGGATCAGGACAGAGGCCCCCAACCATAGTCCTTGATCTTCAAGTCAGAAGAGTTCGTCCTGGAGAATATCGTCAGAGAGATAGCATAGCCAGCAGAACTCGGTCAAGGTCTCAGACACCAAATAACACTGTCACTTATGAAAGTGAACGAGGAGGTTTCAGGCGCACATTTTCACGGTCTGAGCGGGCAGGCGTCAGAACCTACGTTAGCACCATCAGGATTCCGATTCGTAGGATCTTAAATACTGGCTTAAGTGAGACTACATCTGTTGCGATTCAGACCATGTTAAGGCAGATAATGACGGGTTTTGGAGAGCTAAGCTACTTTATGTACAGCGATAGCGATTCAGAGCCTAGTGCCTCAGTCCCGAGTCGAAATATGGAAAGGGTAGAGTCACGGAATGGAAGAGGTAGCTCTGGTGGTGGTAGCAGTTCTGGTTCCAGTTCGAGTTCAAGCTCCAGTTCCAGTCCTAGTTCCAGTTCCAATGGAGAAAGTTCAGAAACTAGCTCAGAGGTGTTTGAAGGCAGTGTTGAAGGAAGCTCATCAGGTGCCAGACGAGAGGGTCGACATAGGGCTCCAGTTACATTTGACGAAAGTGGCTCTCTTCCCTTCCTTAGCCTGGCTCAGTTTTTCCTCTTAAATGAGGATGATGATGACCAACCTAGAGGACTCACCAAAGAACAAATTGACAACTTGGCAATGAGAAGTTTTGGTGAAAATGATGCATTAAAAACATGTAGTGTTTGCATTACAGAATATACAGAAGGCAACAAACTTCGTAAACTACCTTGTTCCCATGAGTATCATGTCCACTGCATCGATCGCTGGTTATCTGAGAATTCTACCTGTCCTATTTGTCGCAGAGCAGTCTTAGCTTCTGGCAACAGAGAAAGTGTTGTGTAATTAAGATCTGAACTCTAAGCTGTGTAGCTGGAATAGTGATGGGCAAACCGGACTTGCTTGCTTTTTGTCCACTTTTTTGAGTGGTGCTTCATGTAAAGTGACAACCTGAGTTCAGTCATTGCTTTCTAAAGAAACCTTGTCCGTTCTCAAATGTTTCTTATAGAATAAAAGAAAATGTTTAAAAGGCAATGTTTTAGGGCCTAAAAGTTTGATTTCAATATCAGATGGTTTGATAGTTTCTGTACTGATAATTTAGTTATGTACACTTATAAGTTCTTCCTTTGTTATCTTAAAAGGTCTACTTCAGCAATGGCTCCCATCTGTTTCATGTTGCTATTTTACAGATTGCCACATCATAGAGAAGCAAAGAAAATTCCTGGTGAAGGCTAAGTTACAGTATGTGTTTCATAATCAGTTACTTATAGCTATGCCATTCCCAGCTATTAGTTGACACTTAAGTAAAATCACATTCTGAATATTATTTGTTCACCTTTCAGACTAGGTGATGCTGGACACATCAGTGTAAATAACACTAAAGTTAGGATCTTGTAAGTGTATAACTGTCCTAAGCCCATCACTGTGGCACACTGTAGAATGACTTATAGTTTAATTGATATATTTATCTTGTGGAAATATTAAAAAGCTTATGCTTGTGTAAGTGAAAAAAATCACATTCATTTGTTTAAAAATATGTAAAGCTATTTTGTAGAGGCTCAGTACTTTTCCAATGCACTGTTATATTAATGCATTAAAAATTGTAAAGTACCATGCTTAGAAGTGAGGAAACTGCTTTTTGTGAGCCACCATAGTCAAAACAAAACACACCAAACAAAGTACAAAGCTGCTTTTGTAAGTGTGTAGATGTCAAGAGCAGAACATATCTATAATATATGTGAACAGCTACTGTGACATGGAAAAGAAAGGATTTTGCAGAATCAAACTGCATTAAAGACCAATGGAAAGCATATAATTTAACTTGGATTTAGGCAGGAAGTGAAAGATGGGAATAGAGAAAACTGCTCTGAAAAAATTTTCATGAAGACCTTAATACATATATGTACTGGTTTCTTATGGTGAGAGCAGTAGCAGCTTGAACCTAGTATTCTTGAGTAGATGAGGCAGAAGATTAGCATATTTGGCAGTACTTTCTTTGGTTTAAGAAAATAACACCTGGCACAAGGTGATGTTTTTTACAAGGTTGGTCCTCAGAAAAAAGGTTCAGAAAAGAGACAAGAAGTCACTTTTAACCTAAGAATTGCAGTTGGTACAGATAGATTTGTGTGCTAATAGTTAAGCCTCAGATTTGCTTTTCAGGATTTATAGTGCAAGGTACTAGTGCACACTTGTTAATATTTCATTACTATCTCTCTAGCACAGATCTAACTAAAGACCTGTTGAGAAGGGATGTTTAGAGAAACTCAGTAAGGAAATTTTTTAAGGACAAAACTTTGTTGAAAATGAACCATGTTGGGTTAGTTGAAATTTCAAGTTTAATTGTGCTGCCCATATATGAAGATGAGACTGCTAATAAGACCATCTATGGACATGCACTTTGTTTCCTTAGTAATAAGAATGCATTCACAGTAACCCAGGTTCTCTTGCCTAATTTCTCTTTTGAGGCTAGTTGGGTTCAGGATTAGTCTGGATGTGGAGCAGATACTTGTTTTTATGGGAAATGCTAACAACAGGTCAGAAGAGGGATTGAACTCATCCCAGGCCTTTAACCAAAAGAGCTAACTACCCAGTAGTAGTCAGATATTCTACACACTAAAACAAGTCTGCTCTAGCAATTATCTGGCTATTGTCACTGTTATCACCGTAGCTATAAAGATTATTTCAAAGCTCATTCTTTCATATTTTCTAGCTTTCAGTCCTACCTAAGTATCAAGGAGATTTGACTTGTAAATATGGTAGTTGTTTACTAAGGATATGTACTGCTCTTGCAAGGAAATAATGTCCAAAGCTTCACTTATTTTTTTTAATATAAGCAGATTTCACTGTCTTACGGCGCTTATGTAATACATTTATCTTTTTAAAAGAATTGTTTGTGTAAAAGTCAGGATTTCTTTATATTTGTGAGCCTCCTTGTCCCCTTTCCTAAGGTGTAATGGTTTCCAGATCTGCGGGGTAGTCCCGATTAACTAAAAACAAAAATCAATTTGGACATAATTCATTATTATAGGGTTATTAATTTTAAAACAACAGCACATTGTAAGTATAAAAGAAAGTTACTGACAACAGGTACCTCCCTAACCTCCCCAAATGTATTACTCATTTATGAAGTATTCAAGTAAGAGGTAACTCAAGCAGAATGCTGGTTTTGAATGTAGATGATGAAGCTATTAATAAACACTGGAAATAGAACCTTTAAGTTTTTAGTCTTTCAATAGGATGCACATATTTGACATGTGCAAATGGACACCTGTTTCAAATAGCACTCATATCTATTGGGTTGTGTAGATTGCTACGTTTCTGTTTTGCAAAATTCATGACTGATATGTACTCATTAGTGTTGTGGACATTAAAGACAAGGTCATTTGTACACGTCAGATACACAATGGACAACAAAATTTTTCCCCTACCAGTGTCCAAACACCTATTCTTGAGGGAGCATTTTTCTTGCAAAAACCCTTACATTTCATTTTTTTAATCTTTGCACTTTTTAGTTACAGAAAGGTTCTGTCTTTAAGACCTAATTTGAACACATGCCATAATAGGAGCAAAAAATAGACAATTTGGGGAGATTACATTGTTTAAAGCACTGTTTAGAAAGACAAGTACTAAAACCTAAGCTTAATTGAATATTTCTGCTGGTTTTAAAAATTGGGTTACTAGTGTGAAACATTTGCAGTGTTTTTTTGTTTCACTCTAAGCTGACAAGGTTGAGCTTAGTACTAAAGAACAAACTTGAACAAAGTAGTTTGCAGACTGGCAACACTAAAAAGAGTTGTGTTGCCTATTTGGCATATTCTAAAAAAAATGATAGTTATACATCAATGGTGTTAATGGAGATAGAAATTGAGAAAACTGTTCACATTAGTGCTCGATGTAGGCTACTATACAGTTTATTTAAAAAACACCTTAATTCCAGGAATTACTACACAGAATCTTTTAGGAATACGATCATTTAAATTTATTCAGATATTAAGATTAGGAAACTGGTTAAGTGTGTTACCTCAAGTAATGTATTCCCCACCTCTCTGGGAAAACATCCCTTTTTGTGCCAAGTACTCTCCTATTGTCTATGTCTCATTGATGAGGGGTTATCATTTACTATGCTTTGTGTATAACAGCCTGCTTCCCAAGTGTCCACCGTAGAAAATGGGTTGACCATTAGCTGACTTGCAGTCCACTCCCCAAACACCCATGTTTGCAATAATGCCTCTTACCTGGGCTATTCTTAACAGCTTGCTAGAATACAGTGGCACCTTGTGGTTGTTGATATTTTTATTTTACAGATGGAGGGTATTTTTGTCCACTCTGCTTTATTTTTTGTCAGTAGTGGGGCTTGAACTCTGGGCTAGGGCTCTGTCCCTCAGCTCTTCATCTCAAGGCGCGTGCTCTACCACTTGAGCCACAGTGCCACTTCTGGTTTTCTGGTGGTTAATTGGAGGTAAGTCTCAGACTTTCCTGCCCTGGCTGGCTTTGAACCATGATCCTCAGACCTCAGCCTTCTGAGTAGCTAGGATTACAGGTGTGAGCCACTGGAGCTCTGCTACTCTGCTTTTTTCCTTTGGGCTTTTTGTGAATGGAAATAACTTGCAATTTGCCTTATTTGATTTTTTAAGAAAGTTTTACCATACTGACTTCCTGACAATTGTATTACCATTATGAAATAGAAGCCATGCTTGTAGGGCACTTTCATTTACTAGTCTTATGAGACTATACTGATCACTACTTTAAGTATTCTGTTCTTCTATGAGAGATTAATAAGGCATGTGTTAAAAGGTTGCTATGTTCCTTTTCCTTTGGTATAATTCAGTATAATATTCAATAACAGTGTTATAGTTCATTGAGTTAACTAGTAAATTGTTCTTTTGTAAAACATTTGGAAATGTAAACTGATGTAACATGCTTCAGTTGGAAAGTTAAAAGTGTGAGGTCTAAGGAACTGGTGTTCATTTATTTTGAAAAGCAACTATAAACAGCTGCGAGTTCAATACCTGTCCATGTTTTTAGCATTCTGAAGTTAAGAATTTCCCAGGTAGGGACATTTCTAAAGCATTGTCTACTCACTTAACCCTAGTTTGTATCTAAAAGTCTACAGCATAGATTAGAGCTGTTACCAGGGTGGTAGAACTCTTAAAGGAATAAAAGAACTAGGCTTGTCCATTGACACTCAGTTACAGTGACTGACTTGGTTTTGATTAGGACTTGTTTCTAGAGTTTCCACAAGCTCCTGTGTAGTCATTTGGTTGAATAGTTGCTATCTTAAAGACATGCAGTGAAAGTGAAACCCATTATGCCATTGTGCCTTGTTATTTCAAGGTTCCTCTATCAGTTTCTGATCTTGCATATCAATTCTAGTAGCAAGTTATGGCTAAACCAGCTGCCCAGCCTTATGTATTTAGTGCCCTGTTACTAACATTCTTTTAATTGATTTGATTTGCATAGGTATTAACTGTCCAATGTTTGGATTTTACCTCGATAGCTCCATTTGTCCCTGGTGCTGCTTTTAAAGATGTTAGAGCCATGTCAGGTATCAAGTTGAGTAAGGTACGCAATTGGCCTGGGTATGTATCTGTGCCTGTTTTATCTTCTCCCAGGAAGAGAGCTGCTTTGGTAGATGTTTACGTGGATTCATTTAAAGAACTGGGCAGCAGTCTTGGAAAGCTTTCTGACACCTGTAAGAACCTAAAGAGATTTGGAAGGGGAACAATAACAAAGGCTGCCTTTATGTCCTCGAACATGAAGCACAGAAATGTATGCTCTGTAAAGACTAAAATGATTGTTATACCAGGGCTTCCTGACCTCTGGGAGAGAAACTTTTCAAAAAATCAGAGCACAAAATAAATCTGCTTTATCTGGTTTCTCATTTTCTTTCAATTTAAACGTGAACACAACACCCTTCTACAAAATATATCCAACAAAACTCCTGGTAAGGAAGCCCTGTAATTAAATTTAAGAATGTATCAATTTTCCTTTTTTTTGTACAGTGCTTTACACCTGCTTAAAAAAAAAACTTGTTTAATGCAAAACAAGACCTTGAAAGGTCAGTCATTT